GTAATTTATTCCTGTGATGGTAAAGCTGAATTTTCAGCATCATTACTCCAGTCTTCAGTGTCACATGATACTTCAGAAATCAATTTAATATGCTGATTTGCTGCTCCAGAAACATTGGAGATATAGAGTAGATATTTGTCTTGTAGGATTTCCCCACTTGACCATCTTTTCCCCAGTTTCACATTGACGTTACGGCTTTCTAATTTAAAACCCAATGGTGTCATTGTTTGGCAGTGGAACACATTAACAAGAGATAGAGAGAGGAAGAGATTTGCAAATCCTCCAGTTAAGTTCAACAGCACCAACACCATTTTGACTGCTAAAGAGGCTAAAAAAGGCAAAACTGATTGGTTAATACTACTGATAATTGTGCCATTTGAAATGTTTATGGCCCATTAACTGTTACTAATTTGCAAAGAAGACATTTCAGCAGGGTAGAAATGTTTGTTGTTGTTGGAAATGTTTATTATTCATAAATGAGACTTCTGGAAAATGCCCCATAGTACTTCACTCAAAAGTGCTGTGGTCTCCGTTCAGTCCCATCAGCTGCCTATAACATAGACACTCAGCCTGTGGGGAAACGCTGCTCCTGACTGCCACTGTGTTCAGGAGTGAGTGGAAGAGATTTCGCTCCTTAATACAAGCAAATAATGAAGTGCTGTTTGTTTTAAAGAGACGATCACAGTGGATTGGACTAAACATGGAAGAGTGGAAAAATGTAGGCTTCGTTTTCACCTTCCACTCAACATGTGATGGTAAAGCTGAATTTTCAGCATCATTACTCCAGTCTTCAGTGTCACATGATACTTCAGAAATCAATTTAATATGATGATTTGCTGCTCCAGAAACATTTCTTATTATCAGTGTTGATGACAGTTGTGCTGCTTAATGTGGAAACTGTGAGTTTTAGTTCATGATTCTTTGATAAATAGTTCAAATCAAAATAATAGTATTTTTTAAATAGAAATCTTTTGTAACAATTGTCTTTTATACGTGTCTTTTATCAAGACATCTCAACAACACTTTTTCAGGCCAGCTGTTTTCTGGATATTTCTTCTCTGTTCTAGTCCTTCTTGCTCCACTGAGTTTTACTCATGATATTATGAAAATAAGGTAGCCAAACAGTTCTGTAAGGTAATATGACCTTTTCTGTTCATGCAGGTGGATTCTGCCTCTGTGTGATTCATACGGGTTGTTTGAATATTATCATCATCGGTGTGCGATTAGATCTGCAGCGCATGGCTGGTTCAGAAGATCTTATTTTCTGAAGCCAACTTGTGTCCCCTCGACAGGGAATGCAGGGACCCATTTTTTTCCCCACAGTTAGCCTGCTGACATTTCCTAGTAACCATGGTAACATGCATCAATTGACCCATTTAGAATCAAAAGAACGAGAGGTTCTGAGGACACTGCAGCATGTGAGCATGAACAGGACGCGAAGCAAACATTGCATGAACGAAGTAGTAAACGGTTCTGGTGGGGAAATCATGGCTTATTCATGACTTTCCCTTATTAAGTAAAATGTTCATTTTTCACTGAACAAAATGGTCACTGAAACTTAAAAACTGTTTTTATAATGTATTTCCAGTAAAATATATTGAATTTTATCAGCCCATAAGAAACGTCATGTACCCAGATCCAAAAAAATCAGGGCAAAGACTTGCTGTCTTCCTGGCCTGTTTACATGTGCCCTTGTAAAAGTTCTGGGGGGATGAACCAGGTCATCCATTTTGAACAGTAAGCACATGTCCAGGAACTCAACTAGACAGATTTGCTGCATTTGCCCAGTGTCAATCGAACATGGTGGCAGACATTCTGGCTCACTGAAAGTGGCTCAAAGGCTCGCCAAGCTTTCGAGTCTTTAATGTAAACAAACCAGAGTACTTAACGTGTCAGATCAGGACAAACACTTCTAAACATAGTCATTTCATCTGTTGAATGTAGGCCACTGGGTCTAGATGTGTCTAACATAAACTCTCAGCAAACGTGTTGTTAAAAGAGACTTGACAAAATTTTAGTTCCATACAATGATGTAGTGTCGGGTAGCTTGTGGCACAAAGTCTGGTCCACAGTGGTGCTTACTCTGGTCTGGTCAATCAATCACTAAGACAGAAAAAGGTCATCTGACTGATGTAAAAGAGATGATGCACGGTATGTGCAGTTGAGGGACAGGTTGATTTAAAATACCACAACAGTAGATTTAAACTCGTATAAAAATTAGAAATCAGCATGCACAATTACATGTCAGCCAATTTACATTAAATTCTGAATGAAAAAGTATTTAATATCGAACGGTGTTGGATTGTACTGTACATCCCTATCCAAATCTATACCAGTGTTATTTTAGTATCACTGATGTACAAATATAGTTTTTGGTAATATTTTGAAGTAGATTTTATTTTTGTTTTCCGATTTCACTTTAATTTTAGTTAAAGGGATAGTTCACCCAAAAATGAAAATTCTGTCATTAATTACTCACCCTCATGTGGTTCCAAACCCGTAAGACCTTCGTTCGTCTTCAGAACACAAATTAGGATATTTTTGATAAATTCCGAGAACATTCTGACCCTCTCATAGACAGCAAGGATATTACTACTGTCAACGTACAGAAACATAGCAAGGACATCTGTAAAATAGTCCATGTGACATCAGGGGTTCAACCGTAATTTTACGAAGCTACGAGAATACTTTTTGTGCGCAAAGAAAACAATAATAATATAATTTATTCAGCAATTCTTCTCTCCGAGTTACCATCTTCCGCCATTTTGGAGAGTACCCCAGAAAGTAATCAACGTAATCAGCGTTGTTTTTGTTCAGCATGCACGCCCTGTCTACTGAACTGTCTACTGTCTACTTATTAAAGGAGGGTATAATGCATTATAATTATTCATAATGTGCCTTGTAATACATTATATCTTGTCGGAAATAATTATAAATTAATGCAATTAAAATGCATAGTGTAATGAATTGATAAGTGTTATAATTTATTAACTGTGGTTCCCCTTCAGGAACGAGACGCTGCGTCGAACGCTTTGGGAACGCCCCCGGCGAGACACCGTACTGAAGCATGTGTTAAATCAGTCCAATAGCGAAGCGAGACGTCACGAGCGGGGTGACGTAAGCAGCCAGGAAGCATAAAGGCGTATCCGGCAAGCGCGCATGTTAGCTTTTGCTCTTCAGCGAGCGCGTCTGGGGTGTGTGTGTGAATGTATGCAAAGCACTCATTCAGTTAAAAAGTTAAGCGAAAGAAAAAAGAAATGCCAAAGAGGTCATGACCCGTACTCCCCCGCAGAAAGATCAGGGGACGGGGCGGCGCTCCCGGCCGGGGTCTTCTAGACAGAAAACGGATCTACGGAACGTTATTATGTCTAAGAGGACCTCGGCCAAACGGTCCTGACAATTCCACCGTCAGGACCGCGAGGGCAGCCCACCTCGGGGAGGAGAGGTACACACCTCAGCACACGGTGCCTGATCCTCCTCAGTGCCCTCAGGGAGACTTACTGATGCCCCTGCCACCCTCGGTGCTTCAGGTCCCAGTAGGCTCCGGCGAGCAAAATTCCCAGCTGCCGCCCGGCGACGGTACGGCACGGGAAAGCTCGCCCCCTCAGATGAGGGCGCTAGAGAGCATAGATCGGTTTTTCCCTGCCGGTCAACCGCTTCAGGGTACCGAAGTGGCTCTTCTAGTAACACCAGACGCCAGTCTCGAGAGACTGGTTCCCTTAGTAGATGTTCTGGCAGCGTGGAAACTTCTGCCGAATGTCTCACAATGGGTCCTGCAGACTGTAGAGAGAGGTTACAGAATTCAGTTCGGTTCTCGTCCACCTCGCTTCAACGGGGTTATTCCTACATTAGTGGGCCCCGAGCAGGCTCTGGTATTGGAACAGGAAGTAGAAACTCTTTTGAGGAAGGAGGCCATAGAACGTGTTCCTCCTCTCGAGAGAGAATCAGGGTTCTACAGCCGTTACTTCATCGTTCCGAAGAAGGATGGGGGGTTGCGTCCGATCATAGATCTGCGTCTACTGAACCGCGCTATCAAACGATTTCGGTTCAAGATGCTTACGATCAAACAGATTGTGTCTCAAATCAAGTCCGAGGACTGGTTTGTCACGATAGATCTCAAGGACGCATACTTCCATGTATCCATTCTTCCTCAACACAGGAAGTTCCTGAGGTTTGCTTTCGGGGGCGAAGCATACCAATATCGGGTTCTTCCATTCGGTCTATCACTATCACCCCGCACTTTCACGAAGTGTGTGGATGCGGCGCTGGCTCCGCTGCGACTCCAGGGCATCCGCTGCGGCAACCACATGTGACGACCCCGGGCTGGACTCCACTTCGTCCGCGGTGAAAGCCGATCCGGCGATTCACAGCGTGAAGTTGATATTTCCTCAGCGACCAGCACGGATCAGCTCCAGGTATGACGAAGCGGATATCGTCCTCTTTTGGAAGGCCAAACAAAGTAGTTTCGCTTCGAAACAACGAAACACACGGCAACAACAATACTACAGCGAGAATCAAAGTTACGCCTTCTTTCTTTGCGTGAACATTTGGGTGGCGTTATGCAAATCTTCCCACATCGTGACGTAGATATGTGGGGGCGTTAGGAGCTTGTAACACTCCAAAGAGAAAGGAAAAATTTAAATAGCATCATATGACCCCTTTAAAACTACTTTTATAATGCATTATACATAAAGGCTTTTAAGTAAAGTGTTACTACTATTTTAAATTATGTCTATAGTTTTGTTTCGTTTAATTTTAAGTAACTTAAACTAGATAAAAATGAGAAATGTTGACTTGGCAACTAGCTGAAACTAAATAAAAGGCTTTTTATTTCGGTTAATATTTATTTTATTTCAAGTAAAGAATTTTTTAATGGTTTTAGTTTTAGTTAACCATAATAACCATTACCTATAGAGTACATGTCAATTATGTCAGTATATTCAGAACTAATTGTATTAAAATGATTTTCTTTTATAAAGAAATATTTCTTGTTTCTACAGAGGTGCTGATTAAAGTCCAGGTATTTGACAACAGCGACCTGTCACCTTTAAAGGAATCCACAGTTCAGGTGTGTGGAAACCAGACGGTCTTAGCATCCAGCCTTGCAGGAGGAGATGGGATTGTCACACTTACGTTCCTGTACCGGCCAGGAACATGGGTCATCGTCACGGCATCAAAGCACGGATTTGTCACAAACTCGGCACCCTGGCATGCCAGCCGCATCCCGCGTGAGTACTTCCTATACTACTATAGCACTGAACATTTTTGACATGGTGTCAGGGAAAGCCTGCAGATTATTGTTAGAAGCAGAGTGTTCGGTTTCATTCTGAAATTCACACGCATTGACTGGATTTCCTGTCAAAACTGCTAGAGCAAGATCAGTTGGTGTTTATGGGCTTCTCTGGAATCATGTTAATCCCTTATTAAAAATGAGGAGTATAGTTTAAACATTTGCCTGCAGATTAAATGGTCCCTGGTTTCAATCTAGATGACCAATTTTTACCATTTAATTCGGTTGCTTTTGAGTAACCTTGGAAAAGAAACAAAAGAAAATGTATCCAATAACCCCTGATTTATATTCCGTATTTAGCACATGCTTTTATCCAAAGCATCTTAAAGGTGCATTTAAGGTGAACGTATTATTGGTTTATTAGCCATTACATTGTCGTTTCAAGTGCAACTGTAAGCATGATGACATTTTTGCTCATGGCCTTTTTTGCTCATGGTGATTTGCGATCTGTTGGCTACATCCTATTATTTAGATGAACCATCTAGATCTGTAATCCAGATGGAGCTTCGCACACAAATGGACAGGAATGTTAAACAACACTCACTGGGGTGTGGGTCGTGCCGACCCGCGTTGTGATACCTAGCAGCTGTTCGGAGTCGGGCCCCAGACGGTCATGTCCTCTTTTTGCTCATGGCCTTTTTTGCTCATGGTGATTTGCGATCTGTTGGCTACATCCTATTATTTAGATGAACCATCTAGATCTGTAATCCAGATGGAGCTTCGCACACAAATGGACAGGAATGTTAAACAACACTCACTGGGGTGTGGGTCGTGCCGACCCGCGTTGTGATACCTAGCAGCTGTTCGGAGTCGGACCCCAGACGGTCATGTCCTCTTTTGACTCTCTCGCTCTACAATTGGTTTAATTTTATTTGGACCACAGCGTGTTCTCCGCCGCCCCTCTCTCCACCCAAACCCCACCCAGTTATGTGGTCAGACCTCTGGGGAGGGGAGGCAGTGAAATCATGTATTTCAGCATAAAGCTGTCTGTACGAGCAGCTGGAAGCCACTTAGCCAGTGGGCTTACAGATATGAAGGCAGCCAGCAAATGTGGCTCCACGTCGTGCCAGGCCAGCCGGGCTGGTGGATGAAGGCTGCATTTAAGGTGAACGTATTATTGGTTTATTAGCCATTACATTGTCGTTTCAAGTGCAACTGTAAGCATGATGACATTTTTGCTCATGGCCTCAGTGAACTTTCCAAATCTGAGGAGTGATTTGCGATCTGTTGGCTACATCCTATTATTTAGATGAACCATCTAGATCTGTAATCCAGATGGAGCTTCGCACACAAATGGACAGGAATGTTAAACAACACTCACTGGGGTGTGGGTCGTGCCGACCCGCGTTGTGATACCTAGCAGCTGTTCGGAGTCGGGCCCCAGACGGTCATGTCCTCTTTTGACTCTCTCGCTCTACGATTGGTTTCATTTATTTGCACAACAGTCATCCTATTATTTAGATGAACCATCTAGATCTGTAATCCAGATGGAGCTTCGCACACAAATGGACAGGAATGTTAAACAACACTCACTGGGGTGTGGGTCGTGCCGACCCGCGTTGTGATACCTAGCAGCTGTTCGGAGTCGGGCCCCAGACGGTCATGTCCTCTTTTGACTCTCTCGCTCTATGATTGGTTTCATTTATTTGCACAACAGTGTTCTCCGCCGCCCCTCTCTCCACCCAAACCCCACCCAGTTATGCGGTCAGACCTCTGGGGAGGGGAGGCAGTGAAATCATGTATTTCAGCATAAAGCTGTCTGTACGAGCAGCTGGAAGCCACTTAGCCAGTGGGGTTACAGATATGGAGGCAGCCAGCAAATGTGGCTCCATGTCGTGCCAGACCAGCCGGGCTGGTGGATGAAGGCATCTTTAGTATGACATTAGCCTCTTGGGGGGGGGCATTACACACATTCCTATTGAGTCACACCAAATTAGGAAATGCTGTCAGAAATGTGGACGACCAAGATTGTGTAGATGAAATGAAGTTGAGGTAGAAAGGAGGTTTTTGAATGAATTAAATTGTGGGGACAGATCAGACGAAGTTTATGTTATACAGGTCAATTTACAGCAATCAATTTAAAGGGGTCATGACATGAGATACATAGAAAAAGTCTGAGATCTTTGAGTTCAGCTCATGAAAAATGCAGGGCAAAAACAAAAGTGTTGCGTTTATAATTTTGTTCAGTGTAAGAGTTCTTTGTACCATTAAAACATCCTGCAAATTTCATTGCTTAAAATGTCCACCTCATTATAAACAAAGAATTTATTTAATCAGGCTCCAAAAACAGCTTGTTTTGGGCCTGAGGTGCAAGGTGACGTCACCTGGGCACAAACATTTGCATAAACACCGCTTCCAGAGCAAGACACCGACGAATAGTCTTCTTCACCCCATACACTGGCATTCAGTCGCTTAATGGCTTGACACTTGATTACGCTGAATGCGAGTGTTGCGTCGGGGTAAAATAGAATTACAATCTAATTACTAGTAATTACAATAAATAGAAATTACAATCACTGCCACTATCTTGTCGACACTGGATACAGTGTACAGATGCACGTTTGCTTTCTGACAGTCCATGCACTCTAATCTGTCGTCAATAGGACAAATGGAGTGAAAGAACTTTTGCTTTGACGCGTTTGGTTTAAACAGCTCGTTCGCAACTTTGTACAGATATCAGAAGGATACCAGCATAAGGAACAAGTGGATAGATTATTTTTAATGGCATCCCGGATCGTATCAGAGGATTGTTCAGAGGGTTGCACAGGTCGTTTTAGAGAGAGGGTCAGAATGAGGGTTGAAAATTATAATTTTTCCACATATTTATTTGGGGGTTTTTTTGTGCAAAAAACTTTATTAACATTATAAGTAAACCTCAAGGAACATAAAAAAAATTTTAAATAAAAATCCATCTCATGACCCTAGACTATGCCCAAGGTTTGAGGGATATTAAATATTTATTTTATATATATATACATACTTTTTTTTTGCAAGACCAACAAACCAACATTTGGTATTATTTTAATGTGCTTTTATTTGGCCATATAGTTTCTTAAAGACAAAGTTCCCTTGCCAGTAAACTTGTATTATGGCTGCTCCTTGTGTCACGACTCAAATTAAATACAGTTGGTAAGTAAAGTTTGGAATTGATGAAGATTTTCTCCACAAGCTCTCTGTTCAAAGTATTTTTTTTTAAATTCATGATTCATTTAGATATTTTTGTTCAACTACTCTGGTTCTGCCATGTTTGTTTTTGCATGCAGGCCATTTAACCTGTAAAATAATTAAAACATTTAAAACAATAAATTAATACATTTTGATATTTTTACAAATTAAATATTTTATACAAAATAACAAGTTAACATTTATATCAAATATATAAAATATTGAAAATTAGAGAAAATTCACAAGCTCTCGGTTATTCCATTTTAAATGGCTGCAATAGTACTACTAGTTGACAAAATCCTTTTAATTGGCAGACTCATGTTTTCATCTGGATGGATCTTGTTTTAAAACAGGGCAGACGGATTACATGACTAGCAGGGGTGTGACAGCTGTGCGAAAGTGATGGGATGCCAGTCATTTGACCGATGACAGTGCATTGGACTGTACTCCGACCCCAGATTGCATACTGAACATCTCTATAATAATGTTACCAATTTTTGTATATGTGACTCAGCTTTCTGAAGGTTATCATTTTCATGTCTCATCTATTTTGTACCAAAGCCATCTGCCCCCATTCCTCCTGCCTTTAGTCTCTCAGCTATGCTGAAAAAGGGTTTCTAAAAAAAAACCTGACGGTGTTGTGGAGTTTTAACTGTCCCCGCAGCACTTTGATAATCTGAGTGAGTCACGCAAACTCGGGGAGAGAGAGAGAGTCATTCTCATGGAGTGATGAAGCAGTTGCTTGCGGCTCAGATTAAATCAACTGAAGTCGGGAACACTTGTTCTTTCCTCCGTTGGCCTATATCTCTTATCCCATTATGGTTTAACTGAATATCTCTATTTTACTTATTTTAAAGAGCTCATGATATCAAAATTGGATTTTGTGGCATTCAGTCCAAGTTAATATTAGCCTGAAGCCTTCTAAAGAGACCCAAAATCATTTGTATTAATTTGTATTATTTGTATTTATTTTTTTCTGTAACAGAAAGTAAGGTATTTAGAATTTTCTTTTTTTCCCAGAAAAAAGATCATATAGGTTTGGAACGACATGAGGGGTGAATAAGTGTTCATTTTTGGGTGAAATAAACTGTTTAAGAGGCGTTCACACTGACACCAATTTGCAGCACCTTTTTAAAATTATGACCAATAAAACTTCATATTAAAGTCTAATGTTAAAATTCTGTATTCATTTGTCTAAATAAATTATAAATAAAACTGAAAACTAAAATCAATTTAAATTTTAAGTGAATTTAGATGTGTAGTATGTAAAATAGATAATCATTTTGAGATCTGCAAGATTACATTTAACAGTGTTATTAAATTATTAGTGTTTTTAAAGATTAATCAAACATTAGATGACCCTCTAATTTTGGCTGATAACATATACAGTAGTACCAATATATTGTGCATCCGTAGACATTCTGGCTGATTTCTGTATTATCAAAGCAGGGGGTGCATAGATGTGTATTGTGTTGTCACAATGCTGCAGAAGATAACCAAGGTTACAAATGATGTAAAATGAAACCACACAATGCCAATGCAGTACCCCTCCCTCTCTTCATACATACTTTTCTTTCAGCTTCTAGCTAATGCAATGTGGACAGTATTGTTGTCACTGCCTCTATTTTGTGCGCATACCTACCAAGCAGAATATTAAAGAGACCAGAGCCCCTTCTGTTCAGGGCATCTGTGCTGTGTGTGCATGCATTTATGCATTACTGCACAGGTGTAAATGTGCATGAATTGCCTGTGTCACGTTTCCCACAGTCTGCTCCTTCAAGTGACAAGCTTTTTGATGTCAGAGCTGGGGAAATCTGAGTGTAATATACTGATTACTAGTGGCTTGTTTAATATAAGCAGACAATCATTATAGAATCTTATCAATTTTTTTTTTGTTAAAAGCTTCCATTAGATTGAAGAGCTTGATTGAAATCATGAAATAAACACTGAAAAACATGAGGTGTGGGTAGGCAGGGGGGACGTTTCAATGTGCCATAGCAGATGGGAAATGGACAGAGGATTTCTGCTCTCAGCATGCAATGGTCTTCTGGAGCACTGCCAGCATATATCCTCCTGCCCATAGAGGAGCACTGAAGGGTGAGGTACATTTGGATTAGCTGACAAAGATCGATGTTGTTGGTGCTGTAGTTTTAGTGCAAGAAAATGTACAACTAAAAAAGACTTTTAAGTTGTAAAGAAGAATGTCGGAGGATTTCGATATAAGCCAAGAGGAGACTGGTTTTCTGCTTTTTTCTTTCATAATATCCCACCTAAAACATAACTTACCCCTTTAACTGACATCTCTACTGTACTGAACTCATACGTCATCCGCCTGGAGCTGCTTCCATGTACAACTGTTGGCGCAAGCTACATTAACCCATTTAAGCCCACCGGCAACTATAGTTGCCGCAGTTTAAGGTTGTCATTTTCCTTTTGTAAGTATTTTTCTAGATGCTATCCATGTTTTATATCTCAATGACATGCAAGCAAACAACCAAATAAAGAATTTCAAGAAGAAAAAAAAAGGTATTCACTTCCTTCCTGTCACATGAGGCTGTCAAGTTCCTACCCTACTTCCAGGAAGCATGGCGAAGGCAAACCCTCCCAAAGAAATATAATTTTCATGTTACTAATAAGTATTTTTTGTTGACATATACATATCTACATAATCATGATGGTCTCTAGAATCATCCAAACAAAACAAATCTTACAAGAGATCTATAGTTTTTTGTATACTTAATCAAAAGTCCAAGCGGCAACTATAGTTGCCGGTGGGCAAATTACTTGCAAGTACATATCATGGGGAAATGAGGTATACTGTGTTAATAGGTTAATAAGGTTATTGGTCTTTTCTGCTTTTTTCTTTCATAATATCCCACCTAAAACATAACTTAACCCTTTAACTGTCATCTCTACTGTACAGTAGACCTTAATTTGATAGGAATAAATCTGTCAAAAGGAGGAGATGAGAAAGCAATCTTTCCACAGCTCTACTGCCCCACTTCTCTGTCTGCTTTTGCCAGTGGTGGGTGGGAAGTTCCAGTTTTCAAGAGACAGCAGCAGTTTACAAACTTATTTATAAAACTACTTGTACCTTCACTGCAGTACTCCTTGTAGGCTACTTATACTAAAACCGCTTACGTAAGGGAAAGTTCACCCAAATGGAAATTGTGTCATCATTGTGTCATCTTCAAATTGCAAACCTATGAGATTCTTTCTTCTGTTGAGCACGATATTTTGCAGAATGTTAGTAACCAAACAGTTAAATGCGTAATTTTCTTTCAGGTATACCTTTTTTATTATATAGATGTAATATTTTGTTCATTCTATTTATTTTTATTTATTTATTTTCATTTAACTTTTTGATACACAATACTCTGTTGGGGAAACTTAATGGCTGCACTTTGTTCTGCACTATGTTCCACCACTTTAAGACAATTAAATTCGATTCGATTAACGATTCGATTCTGCATTCTTTAAGTGCATTCACAGGATTATTTAAATGCTTCCCCTAAATTCTTTAAATGCTTAGTCATGGTGCAAATTACACAGCAGCGGTTAGGGGGAAAAAAACTAAAAAACACTTTTGTCTATTGTTAGATGCTAGTTTAATGATGCTATGGCATGACATGGCATATGCAGAAATGTATGCAAGTCAAAATTTTAAAAAAGAGCTTTAAAAGTATTATATAGGCTAACAATCATTTCAGAAGTGACAGAAATGTCAAATACAATAAATGTATGTATGTATGTTTGTATTATTATTACTTTTTTTTTTACAAGGAATTATTTTCTTATCTCTTACTTTGAATTTCCTATAAGAAATCAAATACACTGCTGGACAATAATCAATCGTTTGTAATCTATAATTTTTTCCTAATGGCAATTTTATGATTGTTTTATATACTACAAACAATTATTTCAATTTTCTGCACAGAATAAGGTAAAAAAATTCATAAATTGTATTTATTTATTGTGTTTATTGTCTTAACGTTTCAGTTCATTCTGTTTTTTATACAGTTTATCTGCAGATATAGCCTGGCACGTCTATGAGCACGAGATCACTTCTCTTTCAGTGCGAAAACTTCTCATAAACTCATAAAATAAAATGCTATAGTATTTAACTTTTCCTCTCCATCGGCGAATGATGATCCTGAAAGAAAACGCGGACGATGTCTGTTTGCTATAGCAACAAACGCTGCTTTCACGCAACGACTGCTCAGGTAATGTCGTCGTCGGTATGACCGAGAGCCATCGAAAAACTACAGAAAAGTAAAACTACTTCACTTTAGCATTACTGGCCACGAGTACTAAGGAGAGATCACACATCAGCTGCTCAAAAAATGTGTCAGTGAGACGAACTGAGCGCGAGCGCAATCCTGTGACTGCAGGCGGTAAATAGTGCAGCGTGTGACGGAGAGATGCGAGGAGCGGCCACTGAACAAAAAGAAGAGAGATGCGAGGCACGAACACTGTTCAAGGTCTCCATTAATTCCATTAATGTATATATTTTGAAAGCATTGAATCGCTGTAGAAATCGCGATTCATTCGATTCTTAGCGTTTTAAATCGATTACTGTCCGAAATCGCAGATTCACGATTCAAAAATCCTTGTTTCAAGATCGATGCATTGCATCGTCAGGGTTTGTAATCGATGCATCGAGAAAACGAGTGAATCGTTACACCCCTAATTGATGGCGAGTAATTTGTGGGCTAATTTTCATTTTTGGGTGAACTAACCCTTTAATGCTGGCATCTCTTACTAAACATGATATGTCAAAGGCTCTGATTTTTACATTTAGATGTCTGTCCTCTGGACAAAATATTGATGGGTCCAAAACAAAGACCCACTGAAGGTTAAAGGAGCTGATGGTCTGGTGATGTTTAACAGGAAGTCATACAGCTGCAGGACTATCTCAGATTTTGTCAGGTTTTACTTGCTGATATCAAAGACTCGTTTGATGCGAGATCACGTGTTCCTGCTGTCTTGCAAACCTGAGGATGAGTCATGTCTCACACCTGTGAGTTAGCAGCTACATCTGGTGAGCTACTGTATATTCCCACAGAAAAAAACAAAAGCCTTGTGTTCTCCAGGGTCAAAGATCCCTGAAAATGAAAGAGGCTGGACAGTTTACTGATTTAAATGGACAAGGAAGAACAATAGCATACAAATGATGCTAAGTAAGGTGCAGTAAGACAATGGTTCCTAACCCTGGTCCTGGAGTACCCCCAACCCTACACAACATTTGGACGTCTCTATTATCTGACTCACTCATTCAAGGTCTTTGAGGCCCTGTTTACACCTGGTATTAAGATGCGGTTTGGTCGATCGGATCACAAGTTGACATGGGAGACACATTCCTGTTTACACCTGGTGTTTTAATCCATCTCCTTTGTCTACTTTCGACCACTTCTGTCCAGATTTTGTGTGTACATATGGGATTTTTCTGATCTTTTGATACAATAAGCTTGCTCAATTTACATAAGAACGCAAAAGGAGACAACAGAACATGATACAAAGAGCAGCAGCTTTTGTTTCTGCTATGATAGCCGCAAAACGCTTTGGGTTTGTTTTAGAATCAGGACTGCCCTGTTGAAAAAAGACAGCATATGCTGGTTAGGTATGTTTTAAAGTATGGAATCTGCTTTGAGCTGGTTTAAGCTGGTCCTGAGCTGGTTATGAGCTGGTCCTGAGCAGGAGCTAGTTGCTTAGGACAAGCTTAAATCAGCTCAAACCAGCTACCATGCTTCAAAACATACCTTTTTCAGCAGGGTAGTAAGATAATTTTGACATTTTTCACCTTCATATCAAACTCACGATTTCAGACAGCAAAGTTTAAATCCTGTCAGGCAGAGAGGAGGCGGTCTTTTGTGGCTGTTTGAACACATGAGGGTCCACACTACAAGAGCAATCTGATTGAATGTGTTTTCGACTACCTCTGAAAGTGGTCGAAAGTGGACAAGCTCAAAATGTTTTACACCCCGTTAACCCTTGTACTTATGCATCATTCACTTGTGATCGGATCGACCAAAACACAACTTAAAACCAGGTGTAAACAGGGCCTGTGTCTCTACTAATGAGCTGATGAGTGGATTCAGATGCATTTTTGAACAGGCAAAAATACAAAATGTGCAGAGTTAGGGTACTCCAGGACCAGGGTTGGGAACCACTGCTCTAAGATGCTAAGTAAGAAGATAAATGGAAAGTTCAAAAGAACAACATTTATTTGAAATAGAAATGTTTTGTTATATTATAAATGTCTTTACTGTGACTTTTGACCAATTTAATGCATCCTTGTGGACAAAAAGTATTTATTTCTTTTAAAAATATATAAAAAAATCCTACTAACCCCAAATATTTAAATATTAGTATACTAATCCCTAGTGTTAGTATACTAATGTTTTTGTTTCTTTCTGACTTGTGTTTCAGTGTACGCCTCCGTAAGTCTGTACTTGCTTCCCCAGAGACCAGCCACTCTCCTGCTGTATGACGATGTGGTGCAATTGCTGTTGGGTTCTCCAGGTGAGTTCTTTTCTGTTTTTAGGACAGACCATCCATTAAAGTTCTGTCAGCATTTGTGAACCTGGAGCACAAAACCAGTCTTAAGTGGCTGGGGTATATTTGTAGCAATAGCCAACAATACATTGTATGGGTCAAAATTATTGATTTTTCTTTTATGCCAAAAATCATAGGATATTAAGTAAAGATCATGTTCCATGAAGATATTTTGTAAATTTCCTACCATAAATATATCAAAACTT